GATGTTTGCTGTCGTGCTTCCCCGGTCCTGTTCCTTGAATAAATCCCCGTTTGACCCGACTTCCGGCTCCTCTCGCCTGCTTCCCGGCTCACCTAAAGCCCACGACCTGACAGAATGACAAGTCTCTCGGAAAGCACAAAGCGGCAGTCCGAGCATCACCGGCTCGGGCTGCTGCAGGAGTTTGTGTACTGGCGTTCCCAACCAGAAGTCGAGGAGGACCCCGTAGCCCTGGAGTTGGCTAACCGGGGCACGGACCTCCTCGGCAAGGAACGCCCGCCAGGTCAAGATTACCCTCTCAGGAGGGCAAGGAAATCTCTTCAGCGGCTGACAAAGAGGATTTCGGAGCGACGGGACGTGTGCGTTGCCAGGAGCCTGGGCAACGTGTCCGAGCCGGCTCCGCCCTCTCCCCCCAGCGGCAGGAAAGATCGGCAAAAGCAGCACCCAGCGCAGCACGAGGAAGAGACTGCGCTCTTCCTAGGAGCCTGCTCCATTGTGCCCGCTTGGGGAGACGCCGCTGTTACCAGTAAGCCTCACGTTGAGGAGAAGCCACCTCCATTAGAGGCGTATCAATATCGGCCGGAGCGTCTGGGGCACGGAGGGATACGTGCCGTGAGAGACTGCATTTCCCGGCTCCCTAAAGCCCTTAAAGGGGCAGTCCCAGGCTTACCTGCTCCGGACTTGCCTGCTCCGGACCTGCCAGCAGCACCGGCTGCTGCTGCCGCCGCACTGCCCACGGCAACGGCTACGGCTGCTGCTGCTGCTGCTGCTGCTGCATTGCCCGCGGCAACGCCTGTCCAGCCTGACCTGCCTGTCAAGCCTGACCCGCATGTCCAGCCGGACCCGCCCATCCTATCTGCAGTCCCTGCAGCTACTGCTGCTGCCGCACTGCCCGCGGCACTGCCTGCTGCAGCTGCCGCCGCTCTGCCTGCGGTGCCTGCAGCTGCCGCCGCTCTGCCTGCGGTGCCTGCAGCTGCCGCCGCTCTGCCTGCGGTGCCTGCAGCTGCCGCCGCTCTGCCTGCTGTGCCTGCAGCGCCGCTCTGCCTGCAGTGCCTGCAGCTGTCGCCGCCCTGCCTGAGGTGCCTACTGCAGCGCCCCCTGCTGGCCATGTGACGGAGGTGCCCACCGAGGCACCCCCTGCTGGCTGCACGCCCGAGGTGCCCGCCGAGGCGCCCCCTGCTGGCCGCGTGACTGCGGCGCCCGCTGAGGCACCCCCTGCTGGCCACACGCCCGCGGCCTTGCCTGAGGCCGCCGCTCTGCCCGTCCAGCCCGGCTCTCCTGACCTGCCCGTCCAGCCCGGCTCTCCTGTCCTGCCTGTCCAGTCCGGCTCGCCTATCCTGATTGCCCCTCCAGTGGCACCGCCCGCGGCTCTGGCTGCTCCGCCTGTTGCCTCTTTAGAGGCCCAGACTACTCTCTTCCCAGCACTAGTCCAAGTCCCCGAGGAGGTCTCGGACAAGAGAACCCCCACTCCTTTCTCCTCTGAGGAGGAGGAGCTGGAGTGGGATCCCTCGGAGACCTCCCTCATGACTCCCTCGCCCTTGCCCCGACAAGGCTGACACCCCCCAGGACCCCACCTTTCGGTATCCCGGAAGGGACGGGGACATAGGCGCAGGGCTCGGGTCCTGCCCGCCCTGCCCCCTGGCTCGTCCGTTCGGCCCCTGGTTGTGGCTCGGTGGCTGTCTGCGGGTCCTGTGCCGTCAGGTCGGCGGTCAACTCCGGGTCCTCCCCCGGTTCCTCGGTCCCGGTCCTCGGCGTCGCCTCCGGCGCCATGTCGGTCGCCTCCGGGCCCCCCTGCTCCGGCTACGCCGTCACCTGCCGCGGCTTCCCCCTCCTGCTCCCTCCTGCTCCCTCCATGTCCCCTCTGTCTCTCCCTCGTCCCGTTCCCTTGGCCCCTGTGTGGTTCCCTCCTGCTCCCTTCTCCCCTTCACCTGTGGCCCCTCCGGCCACTGCCCGTCGCCCGCCTGGGCTCCCTCTGGCTCCCTTTTGTCCCCCTTCCGTTCCTGCCTGGTCTCCCCTGTCTGCCCCTCCTCCTTTCGTCCCGCCTGTGTCTGCTCCTCGTCCCTCTGTTCCTCCTCCGTTCACTCCTGGCCCCTTCGTGTCGCCTGTGGGTGTTCCCTTCGTTTCGCCCTTTTCCGTCTGCTTGTCCGTGTTTCCTGTGCTTTGTTGGGTCCTGTCTTTCTTTTGGTCCTTCTTCCTGTTTTGTGTCTCTGTCCTGTTTCCGGTGTCTCCTTGATGTTTTGCTTTTGTCTTCCAGGTCCTGTTCCCCAGTCTCGTTTCATCCGTCGCCTCCTCTGGGGCGCGCCCGGTGTGCGTGCCTTTGGGGGGGGGTTATGTCACACCCAGCTCCGTCCGATCCTAATGTGTGCCACGCCCACCTCGTTACCTCGTGTTAATCCCTGATTGTTCTCACCTGTTGCCTGTTCCGTTTGCCTAGTCTTGGGTATTTAGTCCTTGTCTGAGTCAGTCTTCCCGAGACTTGTCATTAATGTTTGTTGATGTTTGCTGTCGTGCTTCCCCAGTCCTGTTCCTTGAATAAATCCCCGTTTGACCCGACTTCCGGCTCCTCTCGCCTGCTTCCCGGCTCACCTACAGCCCAAGACCTGACACGTAGGGCCACCATTAATAATTTAATATTAACGTAACCCTGGCAGTGTGCTGCGTCCCGCTCGATAACTCCAGTGGCTAAGACTGGTGCGGTGAGGGAGGCTCAGCCCAGGCCCGGCACCCTCCCGTCGGGACACCTTGCGATATGATGGCAGAGGTGGGTGATGCTGAATACAGTCTGGAGGTGAATGTGACAAACGGACTCTTAATACTACATCTTAATAGAATGTTTTTAAAAAAATAACAAAGCAAAAAACAAACTTTGGACTGTATTAAAGATCTCATTTTCTCCGATTAAACTTTTCAACGTGCATAAAAGATACCAAGTTACCGGCTTCGTTAACTTTCCCATAGCGGATTAAGTCCTAAACATGTTACATTTTATCAAAATCTTTTAAATGAACCAAATGAACTTCCTCCCGGCTCAGTGCCAAATACGCTTCAACAGTTATACAAACAGATGGCTCCGTTTATTGAGCCCGATCTTACCTTCTCAAACAGACACAAATCTACATAAAGGGCAGCTTACAAACACAAGCAGGTTCGCCATGTTGGACATTCCCTCCTGTGATCTGAAAGCATGATGACCCAGAAAACATTAATAACGGCAGTCGTGAGCTAAATAAATAAAACGAAATCAACAAAGCATAATGATTTAACTTGCTGTTTTAAATCGGATTTTGCCGATGCAAATATGTTAGAAACGTTGCATCCCGAGGTCATCCCAAATTGCAACAGGTGCACACTTATTTAATTGGGACAGTCGCCCTGTGAACTTTCACGTGAATCGGTGTATCTTACCATCCCTAATATTTATACCCGGGTGAGGAAACTGACCCATCTGACTGCAAGCTTTTGCTCCAGGTAACAAAGGGAGCCCTGTAAGGTAACCCTTCATGAATAAGCGAGCAGTTTGATAGACCTTAAACCAGGGGTGTCAAACTGGACGGCCGCAGCCCTGTGTAGCTTAGTTCTTTATCTGTTCCGCCACAAATGATTCAGCTCAACATCTATATGGTAATTAGCACAATAAGTTGAATCAGGTGTGTTAAGGGGAAACCCAAAAATGTGCAGGACTCAGGCCCTCCAGGACTGGAGTCTGACACCTGTGCCTTAAACGCTCCACGTCTCAGCTGACTAGACTGTAGGACAGGATTCTTCAAATCTGGACCTCGATTCCAAATCCAGGCCTTGTTTTCAGGTAGTTAGTTTAATACTTACTGATTCTGATTGGTCAGAGGCTTCACACCTGACTGACAGGTAAAGGAAGGCTGGAAAACCAGCAGTGCTCGGACCTCGAGGACCGTGATTTGAATAACCCTGCTGTAGGACATCGACTGTGGGCCTAACACTACAGAACAGCCACTAGATGGCAGCAGCTCCCAATATAAGCCCAGGTTCTTGCGGCCTCCAAAGCAGAGCAGCCAGAGAGCTGCGGCCGCGTGCCCGGAGCTCGCGGGGACCTGCTTGCAGCTTTAACAGGCTTAGGTCCGGAGCCAGTTCTCCATTGTGTCAGACCATTAACTGTACTAGTGGGAGCGGCTAGAAACATCCCAGTCAAGGAAGACGCCTTGATCTAATATGTCATAGGCTGCCATCGTTTGGTTGATGTACTCAGGATGGAGTGTTGGCCAAAGGTGAAGTGGGATAGTCCTGCTCTTATTCCTGCATTTAGGAGTGATGAGGCATCTCTGAATTAGAATCAGTCTCAATGAACCCCTCCCCCCTCCTAAATGTTCATTTCTGTACCAAAAACAAGACAGGCAGCTCACACCAAAATTCCTGAGGGTTGCTGAAGGCTGAAAGTTCCCCTGAAGTGGGGACGTTGACAGTGAAGACGTAGGAGACATGACTCTCCCCCCTGGCCAACTTTTTAATCTGAGCATTTCCATGGCTCCTGCATGAACCCTGAATGATCTGATCACCTTTTGCTCAGAGATCAGGACAGACGGCAGTCACTGCGCTAAATAACCAGAAGCCTCATTAAAATGGGTTACAGTGTCATCTGCACAGAGATCCATCCATCCACACACTCCCTGCCTGAAGGAGTGACTGGATCAGAACCAGGCAGAATGCTGTGGTGCAGGCAGTGATGAGGACGCACACAGATACATGGACCCAAGCTGACAGCCTGTTATGCCCCCCCCCCGCCACAATCACATGCAGAGGACACCCAAGTGCACAACGGTGCCTTCCAGCAGTGCATTACGTGCAGGTGCCTGGGGGGGGGGGGGCACTGAACTGTGTAAATATTTGGTTACTGCAGGCTCCATAGTAACCGTGGGCCTGGTGAGCCACTGCGCTGCCATACCGCCAGATGGATGGATGGATGGATGGATGGCACTCGTTCCGGACACACTCACTTTACTATTCCATTCTCTCAAATGTGCTATAGGATCAAAGCGTTTCCAAACGGTCCCTCACATTTACACTAGAAACTGACTCTAATTGACAGCAAATGCCTAATTTGCACACCATTCACTGGCTACAAACTCCCCAGAAATGAAACCAGATTATAGCATGTTTCAGATATTTCCCCCTGGGCACCTGCCCCCCTCCCTCTCCCATTGGGATTTGAACCGGCAACCTTCCGATCACACGCCCAGGATCACTGAGCTTCAGCACCCCCTCTGACTGTCTTCAGAAGACACTGTTTAACTTGCTTGATTAAGGCAATGAATTACAGCTCCAGGGATTTTAAATGTAAAGATTTAAATTTTAAATTCCACGTCAAGGCTCCACTTCTAGTTTAAAACTAAACCGAAATACTGCGTCAAGTAGGCATAGCTTATGAAATGCACATATTTAAAGAACAAACACAGTTCACCTTGACCACCTGAATCACAGCTGAGGGACCCAGAGTCAGCCAGGAAGGCCAGCCTCCCCCCCCCCCAGGGTCACCGTCATGCTCACCAGCTCCTCACTGAGGATGCTAACATGCCCTGAACACCCCCCCGCCCCCCAAGAGTACGGTAGCCCTTGCTAGCCACGCTGGTAATATAATTAGCCCGACTGCAATCCCATTCACACGAGCCCTTCACGGCGAGTGATCGGCTGAAACGCGGAAGACGCAGTGGGACCATGTGGTAGTCATTTACAGCGCTTGGCAGGGACTGGGGGTGCGGGGGGTTCTGTAGCAACTGATGGTCTGGATTTTCTGGTTGGCCGGACAGAAAATAAATCACTCTGTGGAGAGAGGGAAGAAGCCCGGGCTGAGCTCTGGAAAGGGTCAAGAAGTAAATAAGCAGTGATGGAAGCTTCCGGAAGAAGGTTTCACCAGCTCGGACCCATAAGGCACGTCTGCACATTTCACTTTTTTACGGTTCTATAAATAGCAGCTGGAATGCCCCCCCACAGCCCAGATTTCCATCTGGTTATTAAATAAAGCTGGATTTGGCGGGTTCCATTTCACGCCGGCGGGTGTGAGCGCAGAGCGACCCTCTTTCTGGAAACATGGATGGCTGTCACCTACTTCCCAGGCAGGCTGGCGGCCCGCCGGCCCAGAACACGCCGGCGTTACCTGCGAGGCCCGGCAGACAGAGCCCCATATCCGCACTGCGGATCTTAGGGGATGTCAACCTGCTGTAAGAACTGCAGTGAGATTTATAAGCATCCATACAGAGATGGAGTTTGTTGCTAGCTGAGCAAAATGCTACTAAGTGTACAGAAAACCCATAACAATCCTGATAAATCATTAGCATACGAACATAAGAAATTTACAAAGGAGAGGAGGCCATTCGGGAGAACTTAACTAATAGCTCAGAGATGTTAAAATCTTATCTAGCTCTGATTTAAAGGAACCCAGGGTTTTAGCTTCCGCTACACTAACAGGAAGACTATTCCATACTCTAACTACACGCTGTGTAAAAAAGTGTTTTCTCAAATTCAGTTTAAAATGTTCTCCCGCTAATTTCCACCGATGGCCATGAGTTCTAGTATTTAAGCTAGCAGGAAACCTTCCTGTGACGATTACTCTACACAAACCCTTAGAACTGAGATCTGGCTGTACCTGTATACAGCTCTGTTCTTATTTATGCGATCCTTCAATAAAAAGTTACCCAGCAGAGTCTCATTCCAGCAAACATCCATCTAAACGCGCCTCTCCTAAGATGTCTGAGGAGTCACCGGTAACCAGTGGAAACCTGCCAGGGACCCCTTCCTGACCTGATAGCCCTAAGGGCGCCGCTAAGGGGCCCTGATACCCAGACGGAGCCCGAGAGCCTGTGAAGCAGCAGGGGAGTGGAACAGCACACCTACTGGGTAAGAGAGAGCGCGCCTGGGGCGTGGCAGCTGGGGAGGAGCACCCCCCCATTCGGGGGGGGGGGGGGGGGGTTAGGGTCCACACTCATGACTTAAACCAGATTCCCCTCCCTGGTGGTATCACTAGGGGGGGTATGTTCCCTTTGAGGGTGTAAAGAACAGTTAAGGAATAAATTTGTCATGTTCAACAGGTCCTCTACCCCCCCCCCCCCCAGCAAACCTACATACGGATGGTGGGGCAACAGTGGAGCTGGGCACTGGGGCGCCACCGCGATGGCTGAGCTCCGACCCAATCCTCATGGGCGGAAGACCCGACACCAGGACCACACCAGCGAGGGAAATGGAGCACATTTGCTGGTCCCGCTCCAGAAGGTTCTCATTTGCAGGGAGTCCTCCATGAGATGGGAAAAGTAAAGAAAGCAAAACAGGCAGCTTGCTAGCCTGCTAACACTTCATTTTGTCAGGACCCTCACCTCCCCCCCCCTCCAAATACACACTGCAGAAGCACCATTTTATTCGAACCCTTCTCTTCATTCACCTGGGCTTTAAATGTCTGGTAAATGTGCCCTTGCCACCTGACTGGCTGCTACGATTGCAGCCGCTTCTTAGAATGCCAGAGCCACCTGCAGGATGGCGTCACCCACCGCACCGGCTGCCTGGTGACAGCACACACACACACACACCCACCGCACCGGCTGCCTGGTGACAGCACACACACACACACACACACCGCACC